TTGGAATTGCTGATAAGGGCCTGTGGATATGTTCCATCATGGAATCCGGATGAAAAGACAGAACTGGAGTCCTTAAAGCAACCCCAGTCTGGTAGGACAGAGATGTCAACACTGCATTACAGCCTCATTCAACAAGGGCAGTTTATGATGCCTCATGGGCACCTACTGAGTGCCAAGCTTCACCCACTTCTCTAAGGCAGGTTGGCTGATCCTATTGCCCAATGGAAACCCTGAGTCCACAGAACTTTATAACCAAGGTCACAAAGCAGGAAGTGCCAAAGCAGGATATCAGATCCAGATCTGCTCAACCCTTGCAGGTAAGGAGGGAAGGCTGTGAGAACCCAAAATGCACTGCGCATCCAGGAGGGAGATGACTCCAAGGAGGTCTCAAGGGCAAGGCTGGAGTGCTGGGAAGAAGGGAGTGGCCATGGGCCCAGGAAGCACACACTGTGCACCGGTGAGAGGCTCCCAGGACCAGGAGCTGAGGGTTGCCCGGCACATTCTGGGGACTGGGAGCCATGGAGAGTTCCCAGGAAGAAGTAGCAGGATGGAGTCTGCATTTTCCACAGAGCCCTCTCACAGAGGGACAAATGGTGACCTAGAAAAGGAGGAAACAGCACAGATACTGCTGTGGTGATCCAGGTACACTCAGGAATGGCCCAGAGGAGGAAGACGAGCAGACATGGTTGAGAGAAGTCAAGGAACTAGAATGGATGTGAGTCAAACAACTAAGGGCAACCAGGTGGGCCTAGGCTGTGGAAGACTGGCATTCACTAAATGCTTGAACAGAAGGTCAAGAGGTGGGAGGAGGAGGATAAAATGAAGTCAGCTGGAGACAGGTTGAGCTGAGGTGTCTGGCAGACTTCTAAGTGGAGATCTGCCTTCCGAATTTGTGTCTGTGCACCTGCCACAGCATCTGACACATCAGACATGCCCTCCAAAATATAAGATAGGTGGATGGATGGATGGATGGATGGATGGTGGATGAAAGGACAGATGGACAAATGGATGGACAGATGGATGGATGGGTGGATGACTCAGTGGATGGATGGATGGATGAATAAATGGGTGGGTGAAAGGACAGATAGATGAATGGATGACTAGGTGAGTGGGTGGGTGGATGGATGGATGGATGGACAGATGGACAGATGGATGGATGGATGGATGGATTGATGGATGGATGGATGGGTGGATGGGTGGATGGGTAGATGGGTGGGTTGATGAAAGGACAGATGGACAAATGGACATATAGATGCATGATGGATGACTCAGTATATGGATGGATGGATGAATAAATGGGTGGGTGAAAGGACAGATGGATGAATGAGTGAGTGGGTGGATGGATGGAAGGATGGATGGATGAACTAATAGACAAATGGGTGGACGGACAGATGAGTGGATAGGTGGGTGAAAGGAGAGATACATGGATGAACAGATAAAGGGAAGAATGAATTCTCAACTTTAAATAATGAGATTTAGAAAATATAGTTAAGTACATAGTTTATTCAAGCCCAAAGCTTAAGGATGCCCATCTGGGAGCCTAATTCAAGTTGCCCTGAGCAGATGTTCCAATGAGCAGCAGTAAGTGGGTCATCTTCTTTTTTTTTTTTTTTTGAGACAGGGTCTCACTCTCACCCAGTCTGGATTGCCGTGGTGTGATCACAGCTAACCGCAGCCTCAACCTCCCAGGCTCCAGCAATCCTCTCTCCTCAGCCTGCCTCGGTAGCTGGGACCACAGGCACATGCCACTATGCCTGGCTAATTTTTTTTTTTAATTTTTTTATAAAGACAGGGTCTCACTATGCTGTCCAGGATAGACAAGCAGATTTGAAAGGGAAAAAGAAGAGGCAGCCCCTAAGTTGCTCCCAAGAATTTATATTAAACTAGCAGAAGTATCAAGTGGCTCTAAGGATCACCAAGGACCCACGATTTGAATGATTACCATGCACACACAAAGGAACCTGTGCAGATGACTGCTTTGCACAGAGAGTAAGTCAGCATGCTACACTGTGCCCACAGCAGACCAAGACCTTAAAAGAAGAATCTGTAAGATTCCCGGAGTTCCTGTCATGTACAATTCTAACCATACATACAACACTGAACGGATCCCAGATGATTATGGCGCCCCTTGATTCTAATTCTTACAATTCCTCTGCCTTTCTTCCACCAACTTTCGCTTGTTGCCAGTTCATTACAAATGCAATAGCATGAATTATTCTGTTGACCCATTTGCTCTATTATGAGCTGAGGATGGTTAAATATGCTCATTCTTTTTTCTTTTTTTTTCAGACCAAGTTTCCCTCTTGTTGCCCAGGCTGGGGTGCCGTGGTACGATCTTGGCTCACTGCAACCTCTGCCTCCCAGGTTCAGGTGATTCTTCTGCCTCAGCCTCCCCAGTGGCCAGGATTGCAGGTACGCGCCACCATGCACGGCTAATTTTTTTTTGGTATTTTTAGTAGAGAGAAATACTTCTTTTTTTTTTCTTGAGATGGAGACTTGCTCTGTCACCAAGGCTAGAGTGCAGTGGTGTGACCTCAGCTCACTGCTACCTCTACCTCCTGGGTTCAAGCGATTCTCCTGCCTCGGCCTCCTAAGTGGCCGGGATTACAGGCATCCACCACCACACCCAGATAATTTTTTGTGTTTTTAGTAACTTTTGTATTTTTAGTACAGAAAAATATGCCTCGGCCTCTCAAGGTGCTGGGATTGCAGGTGTGGACCACTGTACCTGGCCTGCTCACTTTTTGATGCTGTTGTGAAAGTGATATTTTTGTCTAATAAAAATTTTAGGCCAGGCACTGTGGCTCGTACCTGTGGTCCCAGCACTTTGGGAAGATGAGGTGGGCAGATCACCTGAGGTCAGGAGTTTGAGACCAGCCTGGACAACATGGCAAAACACCATCTCTACTGAAAACACAGAAAAAATTAGCTGGGTGTGGTGTCATGTGCCTGTGATCCCAGCTACTGGGGAGGCTGAGGAGGGACAGTCACTTGAGCCCAGGAGGCAGAGGTTGCAGTGAGCCAAGACTGTACCACTGCATTCCAGCCTGGGTGACAGAGTGAGACTGTCTCAAAAAAAAAAAAAAAAAAAAAATTAATGACAGTCAAAGGGCACAAAATCTCAGACAGGAAGAATATGTTTTGTACTTTTTTTGAGTTCTGTTATACAGTGTGGTGCATATACTTAATAATGGAGTATTATACATTTCAAAATTGATATTCTCATCACAGAAATGTATTTGAAGTACTGGATATGTTAACTAGCTTGATTTAATTATTCCACATTATATCTATAATTTATGACATCATTTTGTAACCCATAAATTTATACCACTATGAATTGTCCATTTACAATAAAAATTTTTTGTTGCATCTTTTTAGAAATCAGATACTCTGATGATTTCTCACATGATTTGATGGTCATTGATTTATACTGACTTAACAAACATTTATTAAATGTGGAAAAAGAAAAATAAACAAACAAATAAATAAAAATAAGAAGTGCCTGAGACTGGGTAATGTATAAGAAAAGAGGCTTAATTGGCACATGGTTCCGCAGGCTTGACAGAAAGCCTGGTGCTGGCACCTGCTCAGCTTCTAGGGAGGCCTTGGGAAGCTGACAGTCAGGGCAGAAGGTAAAGGGGGAGCAGGCATGTCACCAACAGAAAGCAGGACCCTTAGAGAGAGGGCAAGAGAGTGGCGGGTGAGGGCCGCACACTTTGAAATAACCAGATCTCACGAGGACTCACTCACTGTCATGAGGATAGCACCAAAGAGACGCTGCTGAGCCGTTCATGAGAAACCCGCACCTTTGATCCATCACCTCCCACCAGGCCCCACCTCCAATGCTGGGGATGATATTTCATTATCAGATTTGGGTGAGGACAAATATCCAAATTATGTTGGGGATGGAAACCTCTTAGTGAGGAATCTGAAGAAAGCCAAAAGCCAAATTGGGAAGGCATCGCAGGGTGGCAAAATGAGACCTCAGTCATCAATTTATATAGCTGCTGTTGCCTGTGGAATCACCTCTAGTCTTCAGAATACCACGAATCTGGTTTTCTTAGGAGAAGCAAAACAATAATGGCCAGGAGTAGTGGCTCACACCTGTAATCCCAGCACTTTGGGAGGCAGAGGCGGGTGGATCACCTGAGACCAGGAGTTCAAGACCAGCCTGGCCAATATGGTGAAACCCTGTCTCTACTAAAAATATAAAAAATTAGCTGGGCATGGTGGTGGACACCTGTAATCCCAGCTACCTGGGAGGCTGAGGCAAGACAATCGTTTGAACCAGGAGGGTGGAGGTTGCAGTGAGCCAAGATTGCGCCATTGCACTCCAGCTTAGACAACAAGAGCAAAACTCCATCTCAAAACAATAACAAAAAAACAAAAAAATGAGAGATACATAAACATAAGAATTATAATATAATACACATAAGAATTATAATCAAAAAGAAATGCATATGCCTGAACAGAAAAAAAATTCAACTTATGAATGAACTAAAAACATCACAAAGAAAATTAAAACCCAGGCCTTCTTTAAAGACTTGTAGCCAGGAAATAATTAAGGATTGTAGGAAAATGATAAAAACTCAGAAACAATCATCAGGCTGGAATCTAACAGTAAGTATACAACAGTTTTCTTCTGAAACTTAATTTTTATCTCTCCAACTCCCCATTTCTACCAAAAATAAATCTTAGTGGGACCAAGTTACTTGTAAAATAAGTTTTAGCATTATACTCGGACTCATTATCTGTATAAAGTGGAACAAGAATCGTGACTGACCATAAAGGTTCTTTTCAAGTTGGCTTTGAGGAATTTTCATAGAGAATTTCAGGTTAGACTTTTTAAAGCCTTGAGGGTTTGAAAAGCCAAAGACTGATTCATCACCAGATTGTGCCTGTAAAATCTGCATCAACGGGGTGAGTTCCTCTTTTCTCAAGGCCCCAAAATATTCTGAGGTTCCTGGGCCTAACAGAAAGGAAAATTATTTACTTACCTCAAGGTCAGGAACCTTATAAGGGAACTGTGTAGACAAGGTACATGGCCAGTCTTTCCAAGTAGCTTTTTATTGGCTCTATAAAGCCAACCTCAATTCCTCAAAGCAGTCTGTCATATCTGAAAGTACACCACTCCAGGCAAAGCCTTGGTAGAATATCCAGTGTCTTCAACTGTGTCCTGTTAACAAGGGAAAAATTTTTTTTACTAAAATTATGCAAATAACTACATTACAGTAAATTAAGAATCCTCATTAATAGTTTCTGCTTTTGGAGAAATCAGGTAGAAAGAAAGGTCAATGCTTCAATTTTGCTCATAAAAAAATACTTTACCCAGTTGCTATAAGCTCCAAACAGATTTTTTTTTTAAGTTTTTGGCCAGGCATGGTGGTTCACGCCTGCAATCCCAGTACTTTGGGAGGCCAAGTCAGGCAGATCACCTGAGGTCAAAAGTTCAAGACCAGCCTGGCCAACATGGTGAAACCCTGTCTCTACTAAAACTACAAAAAATTTAGCCAGTCATGGTGGCACACGCCTGTAATCCCAGCTACTCAGGAGGCTGAAGCAGAAGAATAGCTTGAACTCGGGAGGCAGAGGTTGCAGTGAGGCAAGATGGCGCCACTGCACTCCAGCCTGGGCAACAAGAGCAAAATTCCATCTCAAAAAAAAAAAAATTCTTGACTCTTGAAAACAAACAAACAAAGAAAAAAAAAAAAAGAGTTAGCATTGTTTCAACAAAAAAGTCATTAAAATAATTTCAGTCTATCAGTTCAGTCCAGTGTAATTAATTATTGTAATTCCTGATGCTGGGTTAGCAATCTTCATGAATGCATCAGTTTTTCACTAGTGTTCTGGAAGTTTTTACCTAGTCCACTGGTATGATCTCTAAGGTTATTAGAAACCTGTATTCAAGAGTACTTGTCAGTATCCTTTTCATGAATTTCCTTGAAGGAAAGACAAATTTTGGACTGCAGCTGATTGTAAACCACTATTTGTCTTTTCTCTTTCTCTCTTTTTTTTTTTGAGGAGGAGTTTCGCTCTTGTTACCCAGGCTGGAGTGCAATGGCACCATCTCAGCTCACCGCAACCTCCGCCTCCTGGGTTCACACAATTCTCCTGCCTCAGCCTCCTGAGTAGCTGGGATTACAGGCACGCGCCATCATGCCCCAGCTAATTTTTTGTATTTTTAGTAGCGACGGGGTTTCACCATGTTGACCAGGATGGTCTCGATCTCTTAACCTCACTATCCACCCACCTCAGCCTCCCAAAGTGCTGGGATTACAGGCGTGAGCCACCGCGCCCGGCCCTCTCTTTTTTTTTCTTGAGATGGAGTCTCCCTCTGTCACCCAGCTGGAATGCAATGGCACAACTTCAGCTCACTGCAATCTCTGCCTCCCGGGTTCAAGTAATTCTCCTGCCTCAGCCTCCCAAGTAGCTGGGACTATGGGCACCCCCCACCACCACGTCCAGCTACTTTTTGTATTTTTAGTAGAACAGGGTTTCACCATGTTGGCCAGGCTGGCTTCAAACTCCTTACCTCAGGTGATCCACCCACCTTGGCCTCCCAAAGTGCTGGGATTACAGATCACTGCACCTAGTCCTTATACCTCCTTTTTTCATTTTGACCTTCTACCTTAGGCCAAAACTTTTCTTTCTTTTCCCCCTTATCATTTGGACCGTACAAAGTTCTCTCTCATGCAAAAGAAAGAAAATTACTCACTTTTCAACTTTATTTATGAAAAGACATGTCACTTGGCTGGGCATGGTGGCTCACACCTATAATCCCAGCACTTTGGGAGACTGAGGTGGGCAGATTACCTGAAGTCAGGAGTTCAAGACCAGCCTGGCCAACATGATGAAACCCCTGTCTCTACCAAAAATCCAAAAATTAGCCAGGCATGGTGGTGCGCACCTGTAATCCCAGCTACTCAGGAAGCTGAGGCCAGAGAATCACTTGAATCCAGGAGGCAGAGGTTGCAGTAAGCTGAGATCATGAAATTACAGGTGCCCTTCACCATGCCCAGATAATTTTCTGTGTTTTTAATAGATGTTAGATATAGTGAACTCTAAGTTTCTCTTCAAAGAATCAGCGTGTCAGTATGCTCAGCTCTCTTATTCTTTAATTCTCCATTTTAAAGTTTAACTTCCTTGTAGTTTCAGTAAACAACCTTTTCCACTGGTTCTAATCAGTAGCTCACATCTATTCCCCTGTTCCCCTCCTCCATCCTGACTCATCCCAGTCACCTGCTCCAGTCACCTGCCCTGGTCACTTGCTTTGACCTGAGTCACCCCTGGTCACCTGCTCTGACCTGTCCTGTAACCATCCTTCCCATCAAACTATCCACCCCACCACTCCAGCTCATATCCCTGCTCTCTTTAAAATAGCCAATGGGAATTCTTAGACTGTGCAGTCTAACCCTAGCCGATAGGGGAATGACACAGCAGTAGGGGCTACCTGCATCAGAGGTAAGAACCCCTTCCCCTCCCTTGTCCAGGTGTGTGCTTGCCACTGTTCCATCTACAGAAGTAAATTGCCTTGCTGAAGAAATTCACATTGGAGTGCCATTTATTTTTGCACTGAAAATTTACATATAACATAGAGATGGGGTTTCACCATGTTAGCCAGGCCAGTCTCAATCTCCTAACCTCAAGTGACCCACCTGCCTCAGCCTCCCAAAGTGCCAGGATTACAGGCATGAGCTACCACACCCAGCTTTCAAGTTTATTTTTCTATTAACTATCTTTACATTACTGTAATGAGGCAAGTATCATAAAATCAAAAACCTTAAAATACATATATATTTCTTGATAATTCAGAAGATAAACCAACAATATTTTTTTTTTTTTTTTGAGACAGAGTTTTGCTCTTGTTACCCAGGCTGGAGTGCAAAATGGCGCGATCTCGGCTCACTGCAACCTCTGCCTCCTGGGTTCAGGCAATTCTCCTGCCTCAGCCTCCTGAGTAGCTGGGATTACAGGCACGTGCCACCATGCCCAGCTAATTTTTTGTATTTTTAGTAGAGATGGGGTTTCACCATGTTGACCAGGATGGTCTCGATCTCTCGACCTCGTGATCCACCCGCCTTGGCCTCCCAAAGTGCTGGGATTACAGGCTTGAGCCACCGCGCCTGGCCTAAACCAACAATATTAAACCCTTTTATTTACCAAAAATTGATCCAAGTCATGTTAATGAAAAGGCATTTGAGTTAGTTTCTATTTTCTGGTAAAATATGTAAGTGGTCCCTTCTTGAAGCCAATTAATTATAGCTTTTTCATATATTTTGGTAGTGAAATGTCATATACACATGACAGATATATAGACATAGAGACAGAAGCAGATCTTATAGCTTCCATAAAGAATCTTCTCTCAAATTCCCCAAATTGTAGTGGGCCCAACTAATTTGTAAAGTCAGTTTTAGCATTATACTCAGCCTGATTATACTCTCAAACGGTTTTTATTTCCCCTTTTTACATGATCTCTAAGCAGCCGTTAGCTAGGCAATACTAAATGTGCACTTCTTTTTTTTTTTTTTTTTTTTTTTTTTGAGACAGAGTTTCTTTCCTGTTGCCCAGGCTGGAGTACAATGGCGTGATCTCGGCTCACTGCAACCTCCACCTCCCGAATTCAGGTGATTCTCCTGCCTCAGCCTCCCGAGCAGCTGGGACTACAGGCATGTGTCACCGCGCCCGGCTAATTTTGTATTTTTTAGTAGAGACAGGGTTTCTCCATGTTGGTCAGGCTGTTCTCAAACTCCTGATCTCAGGTGATGCGCCTGCCTCAGCCTCCCAAAGTGCTGGGATTACAGGCGTGAGCCACCATGACCCACCACTAAATGTGTACTTCTAAAGGGATGACTCAGGTGAAACAAAGTAGAACAAATTCACATCTCAAAAGCACAGAGCTAAACTCAAGCCAAGGAAGAAGTGTGTAGGTAAAGCCCAGTCAAAATGAGACTGCCATGAAGTGTCTCCAAAGACTACCGTTCGTGATGTCAACTTTAAGGCAATGTCTTCCCCATGTTCAGAAGTTTGGGTGCAGGGAGGGGACGCCCTTACAAATGGAGATTTCCTTCATGTAAATTTTTTTTACAAAGAGTTTCAATAGAGCCAGCTAAATGCTAGAAAGCCATATTCTGGAGATCAAAGAAGTTGCACAAGGGTCTGCATTCATCAGGTTCTCCAGAGGGTCAGAACTAGTAGGATAGATAGGCATATGAAAGGAGTTTATTAGGGAGAATTGGCCCACGCCACCACAGGGCCAAGTCCCATGACAGGCTGTCTGCAAGCTGAGGAAGAAAGAAGCCAGGAGTGGCTCAGTCGGGTCCAAAAGCCTCAGAAGTAGGGAAACCAACAGCACAGCCTTCAGTCTGTGGCTGAAAGCCGGAGAGTCCTGGCAAACCACTGGTGTAGGTCCAAGAGTCCAAAGGCCAAAGAATCTGGAGCGTGATCTCCAAGGGCATGAGGAACAGAGGAAGCATCCAGCACAGAAGAAAGAGGGACGCGAAACCGCCTTTGCAAAAATTATAACTGAAGAAATTGTGACAGTGAAAGAGATCAGACCTAACCGACTCCATCTTGCTTCTAACCTTTAAGCTGTCTTTGTTCCTTCCTGGGCACTGGCCCAACTAACCCTGGGAAGAAATTTAGTTTACGGTTTGACTCTGAAACAAAACTGATAATAGTCCTTTCCCATAAAGATCCCCTTCTTGCCTAGGAACCAGTCTGCCTTTGTAAGACTAATAAATTAGCTACAAAATTAGAAATTGTGATTTAAAGGTCATTCAGCCTCTGGCTGCGAGTCTGAACAGACAATGTCCAAGCCCACTGAATCCCCTAAAAACCACTTATGGTCAGGCACAGTGGCTCATGCCTGTAATCCCAGCACTTTGGGAGGCCAAGGCAGGTGGATGACTTGAGGTCAGGAGTTCCAGATCAGCCTGGGCAACATGGTGAAACCCTGTCTCTACTAAAAACACAAACATCAGCTAGGCGTGGTGGTGAGCACTTGTAATCCTAGCTACTCAGGGGGCTGCAGCAGGAGAATTGATTGAACCCGGGAGGTGAAGGTGGCAGTGAACTTAGACTGTGCCATTGCACTCTAGCCTGGGTGACAAGAGCAAAACTCTTGTCAAAAGAAAGAGAGAAAGTGAGAAAGAGAGAGAGAGAAAGAAAGGAAGGAAGAAGGAAGGAAGGAAGGAGAGAGAAAGAAAAAGAAAGAAAGAAAGAGAAAGAAAGAAAATCTTGCTAGCTGCACATGGAGTCCAATCCTGATTTCTGTCCGGCCATATTTTCCAGGAGCTGAGCTTCTCAGCTGAGCACCTACACATAAAGAGCCAAAAGCCCTGCCTGCCCCACAGACGGAAACTACAGGAAATCAAAAGCAGTTCATGGAAGGGAAAAGGATGAACAAAAAAGTGTGTTCCCCAAAAGGTCAAGAGTCACACAGACAACTTAAAATAAGCATGGCCAGGTGCAAGCACTCATACCTATAATCCCAGCACTTTAGGAGACTGAGGCAGAAGGACTGAGGCCATGAGTTCAAGACCAGTCTGGCCAACATAGCAAAATTCCATCTTTACAAAAATAAAAATTAAAAAATTAGCCAGGCATGGTGGTGCCCACCTGTAGTCCTAGCTACTTGGGAGACTGAGGCAGGAGGATTGCTTGAGCCCAGAAGTTCAAGGTTACATTGAGCTCTGATAGGACCACTATACTCCAGCCTAAGTGACAGAGCAAGACGCTGTCTCTAAAAATAAAAATGAAAAACAAACAGGACTGGCCAGACGCGCTGGCTCACGCCTGTAATCCTAGCACTTCGGGAGGCCAAAGCAGGCAGATCACCTGAGGTCAGGAGTTCGAGATCAGCCTGGCCAACATGGTGAAAACCCGTCTCTACTAAAAATACAAAAAATTAGCCAGGCATGGTGGCAGGTGCCTATAATCCCAGTTACTGGAAGGCTGAGGCAGGAGAATTGCTTGAACTCGGGAGGTGGAGGTTGCAGTGAGCCAAGATTGCACCATTGCACTCAAGCCTGGGAGTGAAACTCTTTCTAAAAAAAAAAAAACAAAACTAGCTGGGCAAGGTAGTGGGTGCCTGTAATCCCAGCTACTTGGGAGGTTTAGGCAGAAGAATCATTTGAACCCAGGAGGTGAAGATTGCAGTGAGCCAAGGTTGCGCCACTGCACTCCAGCCTGGGTAACAGAGCAAAACTCTGTCTCAAAACAAACAAACAAAAAGCAATAGTTTCAGATAACCTCCTGTTTTCTTCTTGCAAATAAATTACTTCATCAGAACTTCTTTTAGAAGCTCCTAAGTATCATTGAAAAATAGCTCTCTCAGTTTTTTAATTTTAGATCCAGATGTTTCCTGTTGAGTGCATAAACTAAGTTAGGTATTTTCAAGGTACCCATCTTAGCTACTGTAGTCTGAGGTCTTCATGGGTTAAGTGAGACAATTTTCTCTATACTGACAGAAGGTGGCACCGTGAGTATGCACATGAATACAGCTGCCATTTCTGCGATGGATCTCTCCTTCAGACGCACAAGAGCCCATAACTTAGATTTTCCTTCTAAATGACCAAAAATACATAAGGGGGGGAATTTCAGTCACTAAAGAAGAAAGTTTAGATTTGTCAATTGAACTAAGTTTCAGAATGTGGCCAGTTTTAAAGATGACACTTTCTCCTTGACCAAATTTCAAATGAGGAAAAGGCTGCAAACTCTAAAAAGTAAGATAAGCAAAACCTCGGAGACAAGTGAAAATCACAAATCTGCAGTCAACAGCCTCTCTAGAGAATAAAAATGGAAACTCCTACCCTTCAGTGGAGCTTCGGTTCCAACCCTATCAAATTCTTAGTGTGTAAGTCTCAATCTTCAACCAAGCCAGGAGGATTCAGATCCTAAGACGGGCCTTACCAGAGACCCCTGCCAGCCCCAGTGAGGTCGAGTAAACAATAGTTGCTTGTGCTGGTACCAAGGCTTCAACTATTGATGAAGCAATGGCAATCCCTGAAGGCCTGCTTCAGCTCCTATGTGGGTCGCCAAAATGTCAACCTCAAATAACGAAATTCAGGCCGGACACAGTGGCTCACACCGGTAATCCAAGCACTTTGGAAGACCGAGGTGGGTGGATCACCTGAGGTCAGGAGTTCAAAACCACCTGGCCGACATGGTGAAACCCCATCTCTACCAAAAAAATACAAAGAATGAGCCAGGTGTGGTGGCTCATGTCTGTCATCCCAGCTACTCGGGAGGCTGAGGCAGGAGAATCGCTTGAACCTGGGAGGTAGAAGTTGCAGCGAGCAGAGATCGTGCCATTGCACTCCAGCCTGGGCAACAAGAGTGAAATTTGGTCTCAAAAAGAAAAAGAAATGAAATTCAGAAAATATGATTAAGTATACAGTTTATTTGAGCCCAAGCTTGAGGATGGCTACCTGGGCACATACCCCCTAGGTTCCCCTGAATATGTGTTCCTATTAGCAGCAGTTACACTGGGTTTTGTTTTGTTTGGGGGTTGTTTTTTTTTTCTGAGATGGAGATTTGCTCTGTCGGCCAGGCTGGAGTGCAGTGGTGCCATGTCAGCTCACTGCAACCTCCGCCTCCAGGGTTCAAGCGATTCTCCTGCCTCAGCCCCCCAAGCAGCTGGAACTACAGGGGCGTGCCACCACGCCCACCTAATTTTTTTTTGTATTTTTAGGAGAAATGGGGTTTCACCATATTGGCCAGGCTGGTATTGAACTCCTGACCTCATGATCCACCCGCCTCAGCCTCCCAAAGTGCTGGGATTGCAGGTGTGAGCCACAGAGCCTGGCCTAAGTGGATTTTTAAGGGAAAGGAAGAGGCAGTCCCTAAGTTGTTAGCAAGAACTTGCATTAAAATAACAGAAGGTGCTGATTGGCTATGCATTGTTCTTTGAATCACTAATTCCATGTGAACATGAAGGTAATGGGTGAGGCAGCCTGTCGGGAGCAAAAATGCCTTCAAACAATTGCCCCGGACAATTGCTTCTGTGGTGGAAGGGGCACTGAATGAAGTCCCACACTCCTGATTCTCTGGGCCTCATCATTTCGTACCACCTCACAGAGCTCAGACTGCTTTACTTTTTCTTTCCCAGGAAAAACAGGTGGATGTTGCTGGTGGCCCTGGTCTGATCATCCACCCTGGTTCCAGTAACCAGATTAATTCCTTTTAATAGAGCCTTGTATTTCAGTTCAGTTCCCATGCATAGACCTTACCTCTGCTTTCTTCCACCACTTCTCCCCTACCCCAGGGACTTCACAGCTGAGACCCGTTGCCAGCTTCCATCTCTCCAGCAGTCTTTGTTCCCAGACCGTGTCCTGAGGCTGCACCCTCTGGACATGACCACCTGCTGGACTGGCATCTGTCTTGTCTCTTCTCTGGCCTCACCTATGCGAAAGGAACATAAAATTCAGGATCCCAGTTCACTCTGCCAAAAGGAAAAGAATGAGTTAGGCCGGGCACGTGGCTCACACCTGCAATCCCAGCACTTTGGGAGGTTGAGGTGAGCTGATCACGGGGAGTCAGGAGTTCGAGAGCAGGCTGACCAACGTGGAGAAACCCCATCTCTACCCAAAATACAAAGTTAGCCGGGCGTGGTGGTGCATGCCTGTAATTCCAGTTACTCAAGAGGCTGAGGCAGGAGGATCACTTGAACCCGAGAGGCGGAGGCTGCAGTGAGTGGAGATTGTGCCACTGCACTCCAGCCTGGGCAACAAGAGCAAAACTCCATCTCAAAAAAAGAAGAAAAATGCCGGGCGCGGTGGCTCAATCCTGTAATCCCAGCACTTTGGGAGGCCGAGGCGGGTGGATCACGAGGTCGAGAGATCGAGACCATCCTGGCCAACGTGGTGAAACCCCATCTCTACTCAAAATACAAAAAATTAGCTGGGCATGGTGGCATGTGCCTGTAGTCCCAGCTACTCAGGAGGCTGAGGCAGGAGAATTGCTTGAACCCGGGAGGCGGAGGTTGCGGTGAGCCGAGATCGTGCCATTGCACTCCAGCCTGGGTAACAAGAGCGACACTCTGTCTCAAAAAAAAAAAGAAAAGAAAAATGAGATGAAAGCTGTCATGTAAGAAAGCAACTGCCTTTCTTTTTGTTCCCAAGCAGATGGCTACAGATAAAAGGTTCAACATCCCCTTCTCTTATGCAAAGTGCGGGTTTGCTGAGTGTGAGCCGTACACAACTGACTGTTCTCCACCCACTTCTTTTCTCTTGCGATGTGTGGGGTTAGGGTTAGGGAATTATTGTCCGGCTTTCCCCTCCAGCCCACTTTTCCCCTTTAAACAATGAAGCCCTCAAAGCCATCTTTGGAGAAAGGCACAGACCCCCAGACCGCTTCCGTGATTCCGTGTTTCCCCCGGGCATTGTCCTTAACCTTGGCAATATAAACTTCTAAGTTCATTGAGCCCTGTCTCACATACGTTTTGGTTTACACCTCCGAGTCCCTACTGTTCCTAAGACAAGTTTCCAGTTTGCAGATCCTTCCCAGGTGGAAAGATGCTCTGTTGCCAAGAAAGATGCAATTCTAACGCGCAACTCTGTCCAAACGCTAGTGCTCAGCGTTCAGCTCTGGCCAGCCAAGAGGACCCCACGCACCTTCCCACAGCCTGGGGCTCATCTTGACGGGGAGGTAAGTCAGGTAGGCCCTGTCGGACTTCTACCCAACCAAAGTGGACAGCTGGGTTGGAAATTAGGTAAATGGAAGGTGAGCTGATGAACGTGGGAAACCAGATGAAAACGGTTACTTGATGGAGCGGTTAAAACACAGTGGGGAAGGAATAGAACTCTTCCAACGGAATGGTTCCAGCCTTGTGCCCTAAAGGGACCGAAAGGGTATCCCAGAGGCAAGTCACTGGCCTTCCAACTCCACCGGTGGGTGGCCCCGGCCCGGCCACTGAAAGAACGCAGGGTCCCGGGGAGGTCGCAGCTGGCAAGCGTACCGGGAGGGGGAAGCGGAGCGGGGTGCGAGGTTAATCAGGCCCCGAGAGCCAGGTCTACAGGGCCTCAGCGGTGCCCACCCATGCCTGGCAATTCTTTAAAGGCACTATTGCTCCAGACCCGCTGCCTTCACCCGTGATCTTCCTTTACTGGAATTACTACACAAAGAACAGCGTATAGCCAATCAGTAGCGTCTGTTACTTTCATGTAAATTCTTGCTGAGCAATTTAAAAACGGCCTCTCTCTTTTGATTTATAAACCCACTTGTAACTGTTGCTAATCCTATGTTCAGGGCAACTTGAAGCCGTGCTCCCGGGCCGCAATCTTCCAACTTGGCCCAAGTCACCTCTCTACTTATATAAAGTTCGCCTCCGCGTTTTGAAGGTCGACGGTTCCCCCGCACCACGCGCAAGCGTCTGGGGAAGGGAACTCCGCACTTCTCAATCTTCCCCGGGCTGGGGTCGAGCTGAGCGCCCCGCACCGAGCCCCAGGAGGCTCTGCGGAAAAGCCCCTCGGCCCCGGTTCGGCCTACACCGCCAGCCGCCAATCCACGGCGCGAAGCACCGAGCAGAGCCAGCGCCGGGCAGGAGGGCGACGGCCGGGCGGGGCGGCTTCCCAGGGCCGAAAAGGCGGGGCCTTCCGCGCGTACTACGCACTCCCAACGCGCATACGTCCCGCCCACGCGCACGCAGCGCCTCTCCTGATTGGGCATTGCTGCCACGTCGGGGCTGGGAAGAGCGTCGTCGCGCCAGGGTGACGTCTCCTGCGGGCGTCTGCAGGGTTGGCGGCGTCGGCAGCAGTGTCGGCGGCGACGGCGGTGGCGGCGGCGGGTGGGAAATGGCGGAGTATCTGGCCTCCATCTTCGGCACCGAGAAAGACAAGTGAGTGGGAGCCGCCCGTCGGGGTTTGGGCGCGATCGGGGCGCGGGGCAGCCGAGGCGGCGGAAGGGCGACCAGGGAGGCCCGAGCGGGCCGGCGCGGCGGCGGCGGGGGGAGGGGCGCGGCGGCGGGAAGGTGCGGCGGCCCTTCCGGCCCCTCGCGCGCCCTCCGGGAGTCGCGCGCCGCGGCCGCCTCGTGGACCGCGCGGCGGAAGAACGGAGCGGGGCCGATGAATGGGGCTTCTTTTTGGGGCGCTCGCTCCCGCGCCGGGGCCTGGGCGGGCTGGTCGCCCCAGGTCCGGGCCTTCAGCCTCTGGCCTCCGGAAGCCGCCTCGAGCCGCGCTGAAAGTTGCCCGGCGCCTCCGGGCCTTCTCGGTGTGGACACGTTTGCTCCAACTTTGAGCTGTGCAAGTCCTGTGCAGCGAGCTCTGGTGCCAGCCTCGCCAGGATTCGGTCGCGTTTCTAACTTAGGGTCCTAAGCGTTGGTGTTTTGTCCACTTAGCAAGCCTCTTGCCTGTTTAAGCGACCACTGGGCCGGCAGTAAGGACACATGACGAGGAAAAGTATGGTGGAGACTACTGGATTAACTATCTAACCACAAAAGACGTGATCCGCTCTTAAAACACAGGTGCTCCTCGATTTACGATGGGATTGCGTTCCGATAAACCCATCATGAATCGAAAATGCCTTTAATGCCCCGATAAACCCATCGTATAAGTTGAAAGCTTTTAAGTCCTGTTCTTTAACTGTTCTTGACACAGTTCTAATATAAAGAAAAAGATGTTTTGGTGCGTTTTTTCCTTAAGGTTGCATGCTTTCCCTAATCAACTGTTAGGTTAAAAGCAAAACATAATTTCAGCTTTGTTCAGTTGCCGCCTTGACACGTATCAATTTCCAGTGAGTTGGCTGTAGTTTAGGCTAAAGCGAATGTTTTCAGACGTTTGAAAGATGATTCTTTCTTTGAAAACCTAAAGACTCAGCATCTGGCTTAATCTACTGGTTCAGTAAGTAGATTATCTTGGCATTCCTCGGTGCCATACAAAGCTAACATGACTGTGTTTTCAATGATAAACTCCTAAATATGTCATAGATGTTTTTAATGCCACGTTTTTCAAACGCTATTTTAAATGTTTCTCTTTTCCAGGATGGAGTCTATTTTGTAAAATGTTCTCTTCACACATGGTAGAATCTCCTGTGTTGTTTGGATGAGGGGGCTGTATTTCTTTCTAGCAAAATTTTAAGTCAAAATCACCAGTAATAGTCACACTCCAGAAACATGTAGTGGAGGTCAGCCAATTTCTGGAGCCTTAGACATGGTTAAAATTTGGATATTATCCTTAAGGAACTCATGGTATGATCTTGGTGAATGAATAGACAACAGCTCTACTGGAACAAGAGGCTTCTCTGAGTTTAGGATGAAGAACTGAACACTTGTAGGATCAGGGGGCATCATTAATTTCACCTTTTCATAATCGTCTGTGCCGTGACTTTTGTGTCTTATAAAAGGCTATATTCCTATATTTCTGTTGTAATCATATTTCAACCTGTTTGGGCTATACTGTAAAAGTTACGGTTATAATTCAGAACAGTTGACTATTTAATCTGGGTTTACTTGTGTTTTCTTTTCAGGGAGAATGGGGTTTTAGCTTCCAGGAAACAGGATCAGCTCCTAAAAAATAAAGCTGATGGTTTCTTTTAACTTTGTTTTAATTATTACTTAAGAATAAAACATAGATCTCAACCAATTAAAAAATATTCAGCTTATTGTGCATCTGAAGTCATAGATGTTTTCTAGATTCAGGCATATCCTGATAGCTTGTCTATGGTTTAATTATATGGAATAATCGGATATTAATTGTTTAACCACAGGGTTTGCCCATTCCGAGGTAGTTTTTCAATAATCTTTATTTTCAGATGACTTCCTAAAGATATGCTGTTGTCTCATCAAGTTAGATAATCTAAAGTAATGACCTATAAGTTTGCAAATATAGATAATCACTTTCCTCTCCTGGCAAATTCACTTTCCCATCTTTATTGCTACCTGATAATAAATCGATGGCTAGTCAGTCTTCATGGTCCATCAGATTTCACTGAGGTTGAGGCCCTTCAATCTTAACTCTGGATTGACTGTTTAAAACATAATGACACTTGGTTTAAAAAAAAAATTGAATTTGAAAGGAGTCCATCTAGTAAGATGTCCTGATTCCTTAGAGATCTGCTTCCCTACCTGGCATTGCTGGCACACAGGCGTGATTGCTGGTTCCACTGGATATGGATGTGGATTGTCCGTGTATTCGCGCAGTATTAAGGGAAGGTTTTCCAAGAGACAGAAGGTGACGTTAGGTGTTTCCTAAGCTGGGTTTGGTCAGTCCCTTAACAGCTTGTTTTCGTTGTATTGAGACCAGGAGAATTGATTTACTTCAGACCTATTTTTTGGAACTCCCTGTTGGTCTGGTATCAGGGATTAGAGAGACTCTGAACTTGGTTTTCCATTTTCCTTAAATCGTGACAGCACTTCGTGAGCACTGTATATGAAACACACATACCTTCTAGCTGACTCTCAGAACAGTGCCACATGGAGTTTTCTTCATTACAAATGACACCTGAGAGCTAGGGTGACTTGCCCAAACCCAGGCCGCTGGCAGCAGAGTTGGGGTCTTAACCCTCACTACCCTGGTGTTTTCAAGAGAGGGCTTCATTGTGGAGAACTGGAGAGCAGATACAGCTTTCGTTACATGTAGCTTTAGATTAATTTAATACTCCATTTAAGGAAAAAAAAAAAAAGGAGAAAAGCTGTACAGTTAGGAAAATGGAGGGGATTTCAATGAGGAGGAGTCAAGTTGGAATTAGAAGAGTCTTTGGTGACGAGTAGGATATTCGAAGAAGGGGAAGTTGAAGTTCAGTTGTCCTAAAATACAGCAAGGAAGAGGAGGTGCTTAAAACCACAAAAAAACTGTGTCATGTTTCTGTGAGGTTAAAAAGCACTTTGATAGTGTGTATCGTGCTGATGACATAGTTCCGTGTGTTTGGTATCTTCCCAGCAAAATAATCAGCTCTTATTTTCCCTTACAGAGTCAACTGTTCATTTTATTTCAAAATTGGAGCATGTCGTCATGGAGACAGGTGCTCTCGGTTGCACAATAAACCGACGTTTAGCCAGGTTTGTTTGCTTTTTTTTTCATGTAAATTGTAAAAATTTCATGTTCTTTTCAAAGACAGTTAATTTCTACAGATTAAGCAAGTCATTTTTTTCTCTAGTTGTATTTTCCGTTTGTATTCATAAGTGTGTTCTTTGGTTAGAATGAGGCAGTTCCTCTCCCAGTGGAAGGTCTGAGAGCACCACTCCTTGTTTTTATCATTAGAGAAACTTTAAAAACAAGTTTTTGATGTTTATGTGTTGGCTGCGCCTGACATTCGGTGCCCTGCCATCTTCACTACCCCTCTCATAGACATGGGTCCAGAGGGGGTGGCCGTGCCAGCAGCCTTGGCTTAGCCTCTTCCAGGCACCAGTGGACATGGAGTGGGCTCTCTGCTCTCTGCTGTCTCCAGACAGTGGAGGTGATGGAGCCACTGTACGAGCTAGCATCATTGTCAGCAGGCCCGTGGCGCTGCTGGAGTTTCTCTGACTCTGTCCTCACTTCACATCCCTAGTTGAGGAAACAGCAACTTGCATCATGTCTTGGAAACATGAAAAATGGAGCTTAAAGGTAGAAAATGGGCCGTAAATTGCTCAGAGCGGATCTGTTCAGTGAATTGAGGAGTGCCTGTTGTCTTGGGCTTAGAGCCGCTCTGAGTTCAGTTCAATCAAAAGTTGTGATTTTTTGAGTCTTATTTTGGTCAGTTGAAGAAAAGACAAAGGTTTGTACACTGTAAAGGATCACTTGCGGGTGAAAGGGAGAAAGCACCTCTATCAGGAGCAGAAAACTTGTGCTCAAGTCGATGAGAACACTCGAAATTTGAAAATCTATGCCCAAGTCTTTCTAGACGGAGGGTTGGGGAGCTCCTTCCAACACCACCCCCCCACTTGAAGTCCAAATATGCAGCCTCTGAACTGTTGAGTAGATATTATGCGTGGCCTCTGGGAGCTGCCAGACTCTGCCTTTGAGCTCACATCTTTCTGTGTATGTTTTCCTGTGCGCATTTAAGAAAATCTGCCACTCGGTATAAGTGAGCTGGGAGGGAAACACGGGCTTTTTCCTGGTGATGCCCGTGGCCGACCTGCAGCGCACGGTGTTTTTAGAAGAGGCTGGTGGCTTTCCTCCATTGTCCGAATTACCAAGTGCATGGGGCAACCGCAGTCTGTTTTTTCATAGCTCTCAACATGTCTCTTTTTGTGAATTTCAAAATCTTGGAGAACTAGTTTTAAATTTACAATTGTTAAAAAAAAAAAAATTGTAATTGTTTTTTCTTGTGTGTTTTGATTTCTGAACTGAATCTCCCCTAATTAAGCCAGTGGCCCCGGATTGTGCTATAACCAAGCCCCTTAAGTGAGCTCCCAGTTCTGTGATGGGCAGGGGGGTGTCCCAAGTGGCTAAGAGAAATAAACTGTTCCCGATTCTAAAAGTTTTCTCTCATCTGGCCAGAGGCACTTGCTTTGTGTTTGTCTGGATCGGGGATTACCTGAGAATAGGAGCTTAGTTTAGGCACTCCGGATCAGTGTTGGGGAGAGCCCCTTGGAGCTTGATGGAGCCAGTAGAATGTGTCAGCTTAAGCACCCTAGCTTGATGTGTGAGTTCGTTCT